TGTCAGCCTAAGAAAAGCCATCTGGGTAAAAACCCAGTCCAATTATAATCCATTTCAGGTTTTTAATGAAAAGCAGACCTCCCTTTCTTTCACCCTTAGTCATCTGAAGTAAACTGATTTCCCACATGTTCCTAAACTATGTTCCTCCCTTGGCAGTCACTCCTAATGAACTTCTCTATCGATACCCAGAAGGAAACACGGAGCCTCCTCCTAGCCCCTTGGATCTGGGCAGCCCCTGCGCTGGTTTCTGGTTCGTATCAAGGAGCCACTCGACAGAGCCTAAACTTTTGTTATTCGAGCTAAGTAAGAATAAAAACACACATGCTGTCAAAGGAGGAATTTAAAGTATTTTTTCAACGTCAAATGATATTACATGCATTTACAGAACTGAAACACACACACAGGTCGGTACAGCAGTCAATACTTGGACCTGGTGCAGAGACAATGCCCTGGTCACCTAGCTATAGTGCCATAGGGCTTGAGGGTTCCCCTTTCCTATGCTTCCACCTTCTGTGATATGTCCCAGCTGTTGAATTGCATCACGGTTGTGTCAGTGCTAATGTGCTTGTGTCTACAGTGGGTGGACCACTGGTTGAGAAACTTGCCACAAACATTTTGTTTACAGCAGATCCTCAGACCTCTCTAACCTTGGCACTCTCCCCCGGCCATGCCCCCTCCCCAACCAAGCCCCCTCTTCCCAGGTCACACATCCCACCAGCCTTATTTCACCTGTTCCTTAAGTGTTTTTTGTCTGGCTAGATTGTCACACCACTGAACTGTCCCGATTCAAGCGAGACACCCCGGAATTACAGAAGCCATTCTGGCTTCTGATTGGATCCCAGAATGTCCCTTTTTTGGGGGGTCTGGCCTTCTGGAGAGAATCAGCTGGCCCCCATTTAGGGACTAAAAATAATAATTGAGTGCCATAATTTGGATCACCTGGATGTTGGGTATGGAATATCCCCTTCAATTAAGATCATGCTTCTTGCTTGTAAGGATAGAGAATAAAGCAAGGAGGTCATGCGTGTGTGCAGAAACTAGACTATTGTAAATTACGCATGAATTACTCTGCTCGCTTTCACCTCTGGCCCTGCCTACCAATGTCATGTGGCCCTTGGAAGGTTTCCCAGAAGGTAATGAGCTAAAAAAGGTTCTCCAACCCTGACTTACAGCTTCCATGAATTTGGCACTGGAGCAAAACACCAACATTGTTGACAGCCCAAATGTCCAAAGTAGAAACATTCAACCTACCTGGATGACCATGGGAGAAAGAGTAGCTTAAGACAGTGGATGGGATGACCAGCTCACTGTCCCTCACTATCCACTGTCCCTAACCTTGGAGGTGAGGGGTGGCTGTCACCAGTCACCTACTGATGTATGGGTCTTGAACTTTCACATGACACTGAAACCACAGCCAGTACCTGCCTTGCAGGCAGAAGTTCCCACGTTCAGTTTCTGGCATCTCCCATTAGGGACGGGAACAGGTTCTGTCTGAGACCCTGGAGAGCTGCTGTCAGTCAGAACAGACCATGCTGAGCTAGATGGAGCCATGGTCTGACTAAGGCAGCTTCTTATATAGCTATATATGTCAGAACTTAGCCTCAGAATGGGTGGAGTAAAGGGCCAGAACATGACATTTTGCCACCTGAGGCAGAGCAACAAACTATGCTTTCCCTCCAAGGTCTGCTGCAAACATCGGTGATCTGACTGCATGAGTGAGAAGAAGCACAACAGTCTTGTGAGTGGGGTGCCAATAGGTTAAAGCCTCCCCTCTCATATTTTTTGCTCTATAAGACTCACTTTTTCCCTCCTAAAAAGTAAGGGGAAATGTGTGTGCGTCTTATGGAGCGAATGCAGGCTGCGCAGCTATCCCAGAAGCCAGAACAGCAAGAGGGATTGCTGCTTTCACTGCGCAGCGATCCCTCTTGCTGTTCTGGCTTCTGAAATTCAGAATATTTTTTTTCTTGTTTTCCTCCTCCAAAAACTAGGTGCGTCTTGTGGTCTGGTGCATCTTACAGAGCGAAAAATATGGTATATGGGGAGGTTTCAGAATGGAGGAAAGGGGGAAATAAAACCTTTTTTTGCCATCCCATTTTCCATCACCTCTCCATCCCAATATATAATAATGCTGAAGGGAGATTTGGAGGGTGGAGGAAATATACACAGGAGACTCTTTCTATTTGGGGTTGGGTGTTTTTTTTGGGGGGGGGAGAGACACACATTTCCCCTTAAACTTGCCCCTCCAGCTTTGTATCAACAGCACTCAGATATGGGGCTGGCAGGCAGCCCCAACCCCCTTCCCTAATGTATTAAGAAAATTATGTGCCACCTCTTGGCCCTAAAAAGGTTGCCCCAAGGCAGCTCACAAAATCTCAACACTATTAAAAGGAGACTATTCAGAGCCACAGTAAAAACAAATAAGAGTGGAGTATGGTTGCAAGATTAAAATACACGAAAAGCTGGGCAGAAAGTTTAAAACGTCTACAGGGCAACTGAGGAGGAGCCAGGTCAACCTCCTTTGGAAGAGTTCCACAATCAAGGTGATCCCCCCTCACCACCGCAAAAAAGGCCTCATTCTGAGTCCCACTGATGGCACCCTTGTTGGTGGTGGAACACAGAGCAAATATGAGGGCAGTGGGTGCCTCTCTTAGTGCCACACTCTTGCGTCGCACCCTCACCCTGGAAAAAACTGGGGGGGGGGGGCCCAGATTGTGGCACAGGTCTCATGACTTGCCCAGGAATGCATCCCAGAAGACATGCGCCCTGATTTTTTTATCTGAAAAAGTTGGACAGTATGTCACCAGGTTGTAGTGGGGATGAAGAAAACCAGGTATGCCAACTTGAGCAGCTTGGAGGAAAGTTGGGGTCTGAACGTAGTCAACAAACAGCAGTAGTAAATAATACTTTGTAGTTTTGCATGGTTACGGGAAGAACCGCAGCTCAGTGGTAGAGCCAGGGCTTGCTCTGGAATAAATGGCGCCCCCTGTGGCCAGCACTGCAGCACTGTCAAGTTGTGTGGCTTGTTTGGGATTGCAAAGCCTAGCAGCATACAACTCAGCCTCCTGTTCCCAGGCTTCCCCAGAATCCAGACACACCCATGAAAAGGAACCAGAACCACCTCAACTTAACGTGAGCACACTCAACAACAACAACAACAACAACCTTTATTATGGTCGTAGACCAGCATAAGGAGGGAGGGGTACAATAATTTAAAATCATTTAAAATCTAAAAAACAAAAACAAAAAAACCTAAGTTAAAACAGAATATATATATATATATATATATATATATATATATCCATAAGAATCCAAAAGAAGCTAAGAAAGTCTAAAAGAAGGGGTAGAACATCAGACAAGGGTGAAAGAGTGCAAAAGGCTAGTACATATAAGTCCACAGATACCAGTCTACAGAGCACTCCAATATGAGTGCTCATTATATCTAGTTTCTGGCACAGGTCATCATCCGTTGAATCTTGAGCGCTGCTGTGCAGAATCTGGCAACGTTGTGTGTTATAGTAAGATTGGCATCTGAAAGCAGCAGGGAGGTATTGAATTGACCTGTGCAACCTGGGCACTTAAGCAGTGGCTAGTACAAATGTCTCTATAGTAAAGACACTGGAGAAGCACATGCTCTGTTGTTTATATTTGCCCAGAGTCACAGGGGCATTGCGTCTCGAGATAAGCAACCTTCCTGTATCGGCCTTCAAAGACAGCCAAGGGGAGGGCATGACATCGAGCCAAGGTAAAGGCCCGCCGGTGCTTAGGGTCTTCTAGCTAGATATGCCATAGGGAAGGCAGAGTACCTGGAGGATTCATTGGCAATAAAAGTTGGGGTCCTGGCTAGATCCAATTGGTGCTCAGTGTCTGCAACACTGAAAGCTTTGGCCTGTTCATGTCCCATGCTGAGTAGAAAACCTGGAGAGAAGCCATGATTTTAGTTTTCTGATAGTTGAGTTCTAGCTGGTTCTCCTCGCAGTATTGTGTTAATGCTCTCAGTGCTCTTTGGAAGCCAGTACGCGTTCTTGAAAGTATTGCTGCATCATCTGCATAAAGCAGGATAGAGATGTGTCTTCCAGCAAGCTTTGGAGGGTGAAAGTTTATGTTGTGGAGATGACCCACCATAGAATTACTGGTAATGTAAAAATTAAATAAGAGTGGGGCCAGTATGCAGCCTTGCTTGACACCTTTCTCAGTTGCAATGGCATTAGTAAGATGGCCCCGGGGGTTACATCTTACTTTGAGTGAGGTCTCTTCATGTAACATACATATTAGATGAAGAAGTAGTGGGTCTATTGAGGTGGCCTCCAGTTTTCCCCAGCGTTTAGCTCTGGATATCACGAGCACACTCAGTGAATACCAAGGGTTGCGTCCAATGTTAGTCCCATTTAGAACAAACCCATTAAAATCTATACCCTTGGTCAGATAGAACCCAAGCCCAAATGCCCAGCTTGGTGGCACCTTTGGCTTGGCACCCATAAGTTCCCCACCAGCTCCATAAGTCCAGCCCTAGATAGAGCAAATAGAAGATTCCAGGTTCAATCCTTGATATCTCCAGCCCAAACATAGCTGCTGGGACTGGTGCCAGTCACAGCGGACAACACTGGGGAAAACAAGTTAACAGTATGCCCTGCCATAGGACAGGGTCCTGTGTTCCTACGTAATATATTTTTCCCCTCTCTAAACAGCGGCAATTTGGCCACAGTCCTCCCTGAATGGAAAGCCCATAAAAGCAAACTATTTTTTGATTCACTGGGCAAAGGGAGCCAAACGAGCAAAGCCTTGTGCTTTAAAGGTTTTCTTTTTGATTAAGCTAGCATATTTGAACGCATAAGTTGCTCAAGTATGCAGCTTTGATTGAAAACAAAAACGTCCAAAGCCTGAAACACAGACATGACCTTGGCTTAAAAGGAACAAGCCCTAGTCTCCTTCTAATGAGTAAATGCGCAGAAGTGCTTCTCGCCTGGTGCTTCTCTTCAGAGCACCCTTTCCCTCTGCCGTTTGCCATAGCTCAGTGGAAAAGCATCTGCTTTGCATGCAGAAGGTTTCAAGTTCAATCCCTGGTATCTCCAGGTTGGGCTGGGACAGACCCTTGTCTGAATCCCTGGAGAGCTGCTGCCAATCAATACCAAGCTCAATGGACCATTGGTTGGACTTGTGCAGGGCAGATGCCTATGTTCCTATGCCAGCCACCTCACCATCCTGTTCACAGCAGACCCAAGAAGGTGGTGTTGATGATGAAGCCTCAGAGGGTACTGTGCCCAGGGCCCCTTCAAACCTGACTGTGTTGGTCCCGTGGGTTAACCGAGAGGCGAGGTCCAAGTCCAGTCCGAGGTCATAGGTGCAATATGAAGGCAGTCTGTAAAAGCTGAAGCTGGGTGCAGGGCAGGGAGTCTGGAGAGGTCAGGAGCGCAGGCCGGACAACAGGACAAGGTTCAGGCAGGAACTGGCAACCTACAAAGTTGCTCCCGCAACTTGGGACTGGGGCTGGCTGGCTTTTATCTGCCCCAAGGCACAGGGCGGCCCCGATCCTCTGGTGACTCACCCCTCCTGGCCTGGAGGCAAGCACTCCTCCTGCAGGAATTTAGTTCCCTCCGCCTCTCTGCCCTGAGCCTCTGCAGCTCAGGAGAGGCTGGAGGGTTACCGGACCCAGAGGCAACCTCAGCTTCCTCTGACGGGGCTGGGAGGGGAGCACCTGCAGGCAATGGGTCCTCCATCACCTCAGGAGCCAGAGCAGACTCAGCTGGTGCCTGCACCTGAGGATCCAGCACAGGTGAGGGCCCTTCAGGCTCATGCCCCAGCCCCAGCTCAGCTGGTTCTTGAGGCTGGGATTCCTCAGGTTCAGCATCCAAATCTGAATCCCAGGCATCCAATACTGAATCCCGGTATGGTACACCATGGTACAGAGACTTCCCTTCACAAAAGTCAACACCTTCCTTTACACCCTTACTAGTATCAACTTTATTTGTTCCCTACAGCAGGGCTGAACCATGGCTCATTATTCCTAAAGTTGGAACTGCTACCATGGAGAGTTGGCCAAGTCTTCCCTGCACATGTTATGTGCAACAAAACAGTTGCATGGCACCATCATCAAATGGTGACACGCTAACGTGTGGTTGTGCCAAATGTTCCCGACATGGAAGTGATTTCCATACATGGCAGTCTGAAATAGCCGGTGGAATCTAGGAAAACAGGGCAAGTAATTACAAACAGAGTGTCTGGGCTTCTGCAAATCCATAAAAGTACCACAAATAATGGAATACAGCTTAGAGAGCACTAAATATAGTCTGTGCGTTTTTTTAAATAAAAAAAAGTACCACAGGAAGAAGAAATGATAAAAAGTAAAAATAAAATAATATTCCTGTGGATTACTTTAATTCATCCAAATCTGAAAATCTAACTCAGTTGGTGGATATTTCCACTTTAGGAGCATTCCCCATAAAGTCAGAAATTGCTTCATCCAAGACAATATCAACAGCACGATTCTAAAGCTGCGCTTGCACTAGAGTTTCAACCTGTGCAATTTCCTTGGACTGCCAGTCCAATTCTTAAATTTAGAACTTGTAGCCCTCCCATCACCCCTGACCACTGACCATACTGGCTGGGGCTAATACGAGCTGAATTAAAACGGAATCCAGAGGATTCTGGATCTCTGGGCTTAAGTTGAGAGCGGAGAGTGGATTTTTCAAGCCTTAGATCCAGGTTAACTAAACTGTGTCTCTTACTTTCTAAAAGTGACAGTCGACAACAGAAGCCACACATCCACCACACACACTTTTCCTGTACATGGTTAGAGGTTCCTAAACATCTTGTATCAAAAAGCAGTGAGATGGTGAGCTTTTCACTTCTTTTCTCCAGAAATAAATCCTGTCTTGTAGTTAATGTCCCACAGCGTCTCACCATCTTAACAGTAAATAGCTTCTCCGTGTAATTAAATCCCTGGCGTATCAGAATACATCCTCTCCTTTCCTTAAACAAGTACCTGGCTCTGGTTACAATCAGCTCTGTTCCTGGCCAAACTGACTCATGCTTTATCTCAGCTGCACACTTGGCCAAAGATCTCCCCTCCTGCAACTTGACAGTGAGGCAGCCTTTGGTTGAAAAGCACAACCTGTTTCGTCAAGGTGTGATTGAGCACACCCAAAGGGGAAGGAAAACCACCTAATCATTCAAGATTAGCAAAATCTCATTCCAACAATTCTGGGCTTCAGGAAAAGAAAAGAAGCTATTTTACAGTAAATTAAGATTTTTAAATATATATTTTTAGTGTGTCACATTTTTAACAGGATAGGGATTCAGAGATCGTACTGAACAAATATTCTTAAATTTAGAATTGTGAAGACAGTGTAGGGAAGTATTTTTGCATTGCTCTCCAGCTACCCCTTCCGGCCACTTCAGAGAACTGCAACAGGATCCTTATTTTCAAAGGCAGGTTGGCTTTATTAATTAATTAAAATGCTGCTAAGTCCACCTTTTTGCTGCAACAATCTCCAAGATGGCTCACTAAGCAAAAAAACAACAACTCTCAAAAGATAAGTTGTGCTCCAGGTGGCGAGGGCAAGTGTAGCAACACCTCCAAAGAAGTTCTGAATATGCATGTAGATCAAGTCAGGAATGAGGCTTCTCAGTGGATACATAGAAGCCTGCAGATGCTGTGGGCTACAACTTCCACCATATCTGGGCAGAGAGAAAGGCATTTGGGCCCTGGGCCTGAGGTTCTCAACCTCTGCAGTCCCAATGGCTCAGGGCTGCAACACCTCAAGGACTGCCTCTCCCCATATAAACCATCCTGGGCTCTGCGTTCATCATCTGAGTCCCTTCTTGGTATTCCTCCTCCACAAGAAGTCCGGAGGGTGGCAACAGGAGAAGGGCCTTTTCTGCAGTGGCTCCTCATTTGTGGAACGCTCTCCCCAGGGAGGTTTGTCTGGCACCTTCATTATAATCTTTAGGCGAAAATGTTCCTCTTCAACCAGGCCTTTGGCTGATTAATATTCTACAGCCTGTTAAATGTGGGTTTGTGTGTGTGTTTTGTTTTGTCTTGGCTATTTATTTGTGCATTTATCCTGTATTTCTATCTTGTGAACTGCCATGCTATCTTCGGGCAAAGGGCAGTGCATAATTTTAATTAATTAATTAATTAATTAATTAATAATGCAGAGTCTATGTGCATACAGCAGGCTCCACAGCAGACGTCTGCCCATCAAAATGTGGAGGGCAGGAGAAACTGGCCTGAGGACATGTCAAAAGGGGCAGGGCTAGCACACTCATCCCTGCCTTCTGCCTTATAATACTCATGCCTTTTGACAAAACAGCTTTATTGCATGAAGGAAACACCACATTTGTAAACACATGGTGCACACATTGGTTGTGGGTCCCCAGCATCTCAAAAGCACCCCCCCCACACACCCAGGGCAAGTGTCCTCAGACTCTCATTTCCTCTTCAAGCACTACAGCAGTCACCAAGAGAGAAGCACCCAATGAGCAGCCAATTTGTAAAGCCTGAACTGACCCACAGGCATCCTTTTAACCCAAATGGAACTCAACTGCAGGTTGTCATCCCCCTGGATTTACTGGCTGCGAGCAATTCCTCTCCCTTCCTCCCTCTCTAATCAAACCAAAACATGCTCTTGGGTTTTCTGTTCTTTTCATTCTGCTGAAATCAGTGAATACCTATTTGTATACACAAAACAACCGGAGGGGAGGATTTATGGACTTTCAGGAACTGAACCCAATAGCAGAGTAAGGCAATCAGGACGTAGGCTTTGCTGCTGACGTTTTAAAGATGGAGACATGGAAGAAATAAAATTAACCAAGGGGAAAACTATTTACTCTTCTTGGAACCGGAATTATAACTCAGCTGTTTGCTCCCAGTTCAGCCAGCCTAAAACTAAAAATCTCAATTCTCAGTTAAGGAGATTCAAAAAGGGGTGAGGCTTTTTGTAGGAATAAGAGTGTTAAAAATAACATGGAAATTGTAAAAGGCTTAAGAAGAAGCAGCTGTTGAAAGAAGCTGTGTGTAATCGTAGGACAGCATTTTCCTATATACCCTTCATGATCACCACTAGGGCTTTTGGATGGACTCTCACGGACTCTCCTTCATTGGAGGGTCTTGAAGAGAAGTTTGATGTCTTTCTTTAGCTGTGATTCCTGCATTGCACTGATGACCCTTTGAGCCCCTTCTGATGCTACAGTTCTGGTAGCAAGTGGATATTGGAAACAAAGGGGTGCCAAAGAACAAAAAACAAGGCAGTTCATAGTCTCATATTAAAATGTATATTGGGCTGTGCAATACTATGCATGCCTAGGAAGAAGTTATTTCTTTACTACATCTGTCTTTCCAAGAACCTTGAAATGATGGGCACCAGCCTTTCCAAACCTGATGTCTTCCATCTGTTATAGGACTCCGGTTCCCATCAGCCACAGTCCATGTACCCAATGGCCAGCCCTGTTGCACAATCTGCTGTGTTCTTATGCCCACAAGACTCAAGTTTCATGTAAAGCACCCCCAAATTCCACAACATATTGCTCACCTTAGTGGATGGCCTCTTAGGATGCCCAAGCGGCCATCCATAATCCCTGTGCTTATCACACTACGGTTGGAATGGGTTGGGGGGATTTTGCATGCTCCATAGTTAAGCCATGCCTTCATTTCTTGCATCTGGAGCACTGCTTTTTGCTTTTCAAATTGAACTTCTTTCCTCCCAGAGAAAACAATGGGGACCTACTGTTATGGGTTTGAGTGGAAGACAGATTCCCCTAAAAGTCCTGGGTACAATATTCCCCCGCCCCTAATTTCTAGAGTTAGTAAATGTAGAAGATTACTAGACACTTGAAGTCTTCACCCAGGTGTGAGGCAGCTTAGCAGTGTAGTAATTCAGGCTGAATCAGTTCCCTAGGAATTGCATGGGGAGAAGAACTATCATGCAATATAAAGCAAGGTAATGGGTAATTAGGGACGCGGGTGGCGCTGTGCGTTAAACCACAGGGCCTAGGGCTTGCCAATCAGAAGGTCGGCGGTTCAAATCCCCACGACGGGGTGAGTTCCCGTTGCTCGGTCCCTGCTCCTGCCAAC